GCCCAAGTATTTGAGTAAGTTAATGTTCTTTGAGTATAAACCATTTTCTCATTAGTTATGAGTTTTGAGCATGAGGTTTGACATCAAGTGTTATAATAGGTCTCCAAGCCAGACCTATCCCGAGAGCCTGAGCCTCACCTGGCACCACTCATTGCCACATCTCTATGAGATCTTTAGAAATTCCATATGGTGAGACAGCATCACCAGTCTCTCAACTTATATGCCATCTCATAGACTGCTTCTCCTTGAATGGAGGCTCCTGAGAAATAGGGAAACCATCTTCTCATCTCTTATCGAGTCTAATACAATGAGGTCAGAAAGCATGTTCTCAAAAGGTATGGGTAAATATTGTCATCTATTGCATAGGTCCAGGAGTAGTTACTGCAATTGTTAACTTCTACTTAAAATTGTATTTTAGTTTTATGTGTCTGGGTGTTTGGCCTTCACGTATGTGTGAATCATGTATATGAACTGCACATGGAGGCCAGGAGAGGACGCAAGGTCTCTAGATGACTGCTGATACAGGCTGTTGTGAGCTACCATGTGGACTGTGGATGCTGGGAATCAAACCGGACCCTTTGGAAAAGCAGCCAGTGCTCTTAACTGATGAGCCATCTCTCTAGACCGCAATTTTGAACTTCCCAAGGAAAACTTTTTAGCTCTGAATTTCTTTGGGAGATACATGGAAGCTGAACTAACTATTAACATAATGACATCATATGTATCCCTATCTGTCTACAAACTTACACATACACATATACTGCAGGGGTCAGTCTTGATGAGCACAAATGTCATGATGAAATGTGTTATTTTGTATTCTAACTTGAAAATACAATTTAAAAGCTCTTGACTGGCAGGTTGATTGGATTGGGTATATGTAGCAGGATACTTATTCTGCTACATTCTATTTGCAGTGGAGCTCAGTGATTAGGCAGTAGAAGAGGAGGTGGAGCTGGGAGAGAAAGAGAGGAAGGGGAGGGGAGAAAAAGAGGGAGGGGAGGGGAGAAAAAGAGGAAGGGGAGGTAGAAGCAGGAGGCTAGCAGCCATGGAGAACCACAGATAGGTTGAAAGCTGTCCTGGGTAGCAACTTCTAGCAAAAGGTTTGATATTGGGTAACAACTTTGTGTGTATCTTGTTGACTGAGCATTTCTAAATATATAAATCCTTTAGATGATCATTAAGCTTTAAGAGTCTCATTTCTACCAGGTACTGCGAGGATGGCAGACATTGTCTGGGGTTCGGCTGAGCTTTGTGGATGCAGCGTGGGGGATTGGCAGAGCCATCCCCCATGCTGCTGTCTCATAGGTGCCAGGACCTGCACATCTAGCTAGCTGTAGCCCCAGTCAGAGCCGAGGAGCAGCGGGAACATGGTGGCTGCCCGGGAACAAGTTGGACCAGGCGCATTTTCTAAATATCACCCCTACAGGTATAAAAACAGGCAATTGGTAAAACCTCTGCATATGTCGATGAGGGAACTTGCAGAGAGTGTTAACTAAGAAGGAGAAGCTTGTCCTGTGTGTTGCTGGCACTATCAAATGGGCTGGAATTCAGAGTAGAGTAAGAGGGGGGAAAGCCGGAGGGAGTTCAGAAGCACAGGCTTCCCTCTTAACCTTCAGGATGCGAGCTGCTCTCTCCACACACTCCCCAGCAGAACGGACTGAAATGCCCGAAGCTGTGAGTAGAATTAACCTTTCTTCCCTTAAGCTGTTTGGTGTGAGCATTTTGTCACAGCAATGGCACAACACAGCATGATATATATAT